ACACTGTGAACTGTAATGTGTAACATGACACAAAGCTATATTCTGAAAGTTACTGATCTCAGAGTTAATTCTTTTGTCACACACAACTAAATATATTAATTACCATGACACAGGGTCATATGATGTTTGACTGACATGCCTCGGGCAGATGGGACGAACCCCGAGCTATGTGCAATTACGTGCCTACATGGAAATGGATATTTTCTGTAATCCCATTAGAACTACTGTAGTTGTAACCTTTTTGTGTGAATGTGAATTTAGGTTGTCATGTTATTAAAGCTGCACAAAACATTAAAACATTGAATCCAAATGAAAACGTTTTTAAAGTTGCCTAGGAATGTCTGAAGTGCCATTTAAATTATATGTAGATATTCTGACACGTTCCGAAATGCAGACAATGAAGCCCATTTATATGCACTTGTAATTTGATGATTATCTTTTATAGGATCAGTTATTTATTTAAGATTTCAGTTGAGCAAGTGCAGATTTTGGGCTGTTGATCCAGAACAGGGTGGAAGCTGTAATTTTAAACAGTTGGATGCAATTGTTTATTTATGTTGTATATTATGAGGGGTGAACAGAGTAGAGAAAAATGTTTTATAAATGGCTAAGTTTGTGAAGATTCGAAAAACAGGACGCTGAATAATGTGTACTGGCCTGAAGTTTCTGTTCGTGTGTTGAAGACCGTGTCGAAAACTTGAAGCTAGTTTTCTGTGATTGTGTACCGACTTTCTTCCACTAGGCGTTACAGTGAGAAGGAAGCCTCAAAGTTTCGCGAAACTGTACACATAAATAAAAAGATATATTTCCGCAATGGATTCAGAAAAAGTGAAAGTGGAAGAAATCTTTCTTCTACCGTTAACCTTTCTGTAAAACGTTAGCAAATTGCAACTTCTCATCAGAGAGATGTTTTTTTCTTTGTGACTTCACAAGCTATTAAATTAATTAAGAGTATGACGGACGGGTGGTTTAGTGACCTCGTTTTCATGCGCGTTGGACGGAGTGACCTACGAGTGTCGTGTGTGTATGAGAGGGAGTGTTGAGCGGACGAGGCTTGAAATAGTGTTATAGGCGTTTCCTTGCTGCAGGGGTGAGTTATGCAATATGCATGACTGTGGAGCGCACCTTGGGGGCCAATAATGGAAGTTTGAGGAGAGTTTTGCGGTGTGGTGCAGGGACAAGGAGGTGAGGTGGAAGAGGAAGATTTAGGCTCCGGGTGTTCGCTGTAGGGACAAAGAAGAAAGCAACTTCTTGTTGTAACACATGTAATACGATTTGATTCTCGTGCCTCTATGTAGATGGTCTCTTGCACAGTTTCGAAATTTGGATGCGTCATTACAAAAATATAGTTCAGTTGAATGAAAGAGTAAAGCCTGTACGTCAGAATTATTTTTATTAAGGTCAAAATCCGAAACATGTGAGAGCATTTTGGCGTTTATAAGAGTTTAGCTAAAGAGAACTTTATTCACTGGAAATTTTTTAAATAAAGAGTAATGAAATATTAGAATTCCTCATTTCTTATAAACACACACCTGTAATAAAATCTTACGAATTTCGTAACTCTGTATACACTAAACCAGCCTTGTACGTATGTAGATAACAGCTTTAAGTTTCCTATTGCGGTAAAATTGCTGTTTGGGGTCTTTTGGATTATAAAGCCGCATCGTCTTGAACACGATCACACGACGTAATATTCCAGAAGGTCAGAATAAACTACTATGTCTGTCTACAAGCTTAAAATAGATGCAGAATAACACAGTACTTTAACCATTTGAAACGGAATACATGAATGAATAACAGATAAAAGACGAAATGGCGTGAGAATAAGTAGTCCCCTCTCTTCGATCTCATAATGTTTTGTTGAAGAAAATGTAAGGTGTTCTGATGCGGTGAAGGTAGAGTGACGGATAATGGTGCTAATTCAGTCATACCACAAACAGAACACAACGCGTCGCCATTACGTTCATGCTATTTAAGGAAAAGTCATGTTTGCCCTGGGAATCATACAAAACGCACAAGTACACTCTGTGGGAACATAGTTAACGGTTATTAGGGCAGGAGGTACGTACAGTTATCGTTGGGATTTAAAGGGCTGACCTCTTAATTGAAGCGGATATCGAATCTTGCGTGCTTTATTTAAAACTGGGTTATAAAATGGAATAATACGAGATATTACACTGAATATTCCGCTGGTTGCCTCCTTTGCACCGCTTTACGATATCTTTGTAAATGCATTAAAGCATGTAATGTCACCTTTGCAACAAAACAGTGGCAGGCATAATTCATAAAATACTTTTAATCTATATTGTAGGACGGATTCAAAAATGTTGGGGAACCAGAAAGTCTATTTATCGTATATGTCAGTGTGCAGGTCTGTTAAGTTGTACAATAAATTGTCGTGATATTTTAACCCATTCTCGGTTTATAAAGTGAGAGGGAATTGTGAGGTCACCATGCTGTCTGTCTGTCTGTCTGTATGTATGTATGTCTACATGCTACCTCTTCCAGTGTTTGAACCAGCTCACTGATTTTCGCAAAAATTTTATGATGCCATCTTAACGTCGAGGGATTACGTTTAATTTTCAATAATTTGTAAAAACTACACGGCGGACTTGAACACTTATGACTTGGGGATAGTGTAATTGATATAGGATCCTGAAATTAGGTATGATGGTATTTGGAAGAAATATATGCAACTTCTGTTGAGGTATCTGTTTTGCAGAAAATAAAATGACAACATGGCGGTCGTAATTTTATTATTGTATTACTTAGACAATGGGACAAGTCCAAAAGTATAATTAAACACGATTCCAATTTCAGTTTCACAGAGAAAACTAATGGACCAGTTGACTTCCACGTTTTAAATTTGGCACAGGAGTTGGTCTTAAACACACTTATAATTCAGATACAGAAATATTGTAAAGGTCAACAAATTGTACACATTGTCACCTAATAAGGTTAATATGTTATTTACAAGGGGTAATAATAACAACAGAAAAATGTGCTAATTACAGTAACGGCATTCTATAGGATACTCACAATTGTTTGGAGTAATAAAGAGAATATGACGAAAGTGGAATTCAGTCGTAAGAGCACACCAGAACAGCACGTTAACTCACAATCTGCGTAACATTTAGTTATTACCTGCATATAATATTAGTAACACAAGGATAGCGTAAGTCTGTGCAGTGGAGAAGTATACTTATGAGTTCTGCCTTGAGCTCCTTGTTCTTCTGTAAGTTTAACAGGTTACGATGTAACGGTACCTATTTTGGTTTCATTCAGCAGTGTATCGTTTCATTTCTTCGTGCTTCGGGTTATATTTCAAAGCAGCTTCAGATATTCCTTTGTTACCCATTCGTTGTACGTTTCCGGACTTTTTTTGTCATTAATGCGTGTAATTTTTATGAAGTATAATGTGCGTAGGCCTAATTTTTGTATCTCAAACTCTTGTTTTTCATAGAAGCTTCGTATTTCCTGCTGTATAGGAGTTCATAATTGGTCATAATCTTGCACAGTTTACTTTCTGTCCTTTTTTTTTTTAATGTTAAGTCCATAGCCTAATTACGGGGAAGATTTTATAATTGAGGCTGAATTGCAAACACATGATAACTTGGCACTATAAAAAGTATAATAAAAATAAATTATTTAAATGTTGTATATTTTAATTAAACTCGACCATGTATTGTGTATTGTTTCTAACATTTAATCTAAGTGTTTAACAAAACAAATTTTGATTCAGTTCTTGTGTTGTGCCTTATTATGAATGCAGTGTTGATGCCGTTGGATAAAGATACTAAAAAATGTGCTTCTTGTCCCGTCCTGTCAGCTCCCACATTCATGCGTGAAGAGGGAAGTAAAAAATATCGTGTTTCCTCCATGTACTTCCCCCACACAGCAACTGTTTTCACTCTCCCATACACATACGCGTCGGCCTACATATTGCCTGCTGAAAACATAATTTTACTCCAAAAAGGTAGAACTCAACCATGCATTCCAAATTATTATGTGATTAATAACTTCTACATGGTCGATTGGGGTATAAAAAGTTCAGAAGTTTTTACTTTCCCTGAAATGTATCTGTCCCAGTAAATGCAATTTGCATGCAATAGCGCTCCTGGTGACATTTCAGTTAACTATCAATTCTACGTGCGTACTAATACTGTGAGCATCTCGTGTAGACCCATTGAATTAGCAATGGTTAATCGGTTTATAGGTTAGGTACAGATGAGTTTAGGGTTTGAAGCCCTCTAGATTCGCCCGAATTGAGGTCAGTGTTTTAATTTTCGTCTGTAAACGAACTTTTATCAGGGTGAATCAGTAACAGTCATATGACTCTAATATAATTACGAAACGAATTTAAATCAATTACTTCTTCCTCTCCGTTTTGCAGGTGAGTCGCGTCCGCTAGTCACACTCATTTAAGGTTCGTACGATTTGGGAACAAAGCGGTTTTCGCTCTAAATGCTACCTTGACTGTCAATTTCCTATAACTCTAACCGTTTCCACACGCGCGGCTTACTTATCACCCTGATGGTGGAGGCAGCAAGGACCTCTGAAACGTCCGTAAGCGTCTGCCAAACCGCACGGCACAATAACCCAGAAGACAGCCATCTTCAGACTCACCGCTGTGAAAACATCAAATCCTAATTAAGTACGTTTAAAAATAATTTACGGTAGAAACTACCATACCCGGTAGTTGGATTACCAAATTAAATTATTAGGCACGTACATTACTGAAACTACACCATGATTTTCGTTATTTACATTTTTAATTTATTTGGGCCCATTAAAATATTTGCCCTCACTATACACGAAGACGTAAACATTGATAAAGTACATTACTGCTAGTATCTTAAGTTCAATGTGATTCTGAGTGCCATGTGTATGGGTGATTCTTGTCTTGTCTTCACTTCTTTCTTTTTCTAAGGCCAAGCCGATGATACGTGTTTCACCTAATACACAGTAGCTCTTAATTATGTTTACTTCATATTTTTCAGTTTCGACGTCAGAGGTCGGCCGTTTACCAAGGCTCTTTACTGGTCGGACAACAACGCGTTTGGTCCTAGGGCATATTTCGTGACCGGATCGAATCCAGCTGGACTCACGCTTGAATCGGTTCAACTCGACGACCAGGGCATTTACCGGTGTCGCGTCGATTTCAAGAACTCGCCCACAAGAAACTTCCAGATCAATCTTACTGTCATTGGTAAGTAGCATCCAATATTCCGGTAAATATAATATCACAACATAGTACTTTAAATGACAAAATATATGAATAATTTTCTGACTGTAATTTGTATACCTAATAATAATTACATTTCACTCCGAGACCAGTAACGTACCTGGTCAAAGATGATGCCCCGTAACTTATGATCGAGGTTATGATAATCTGCTGCTTGGTTACGGTATTGCACGCCTCATGGGGGTGGTGACAGATTAATATGGAGCAGTGGTGGAATAATGCGTAGCAACTGAGAGCAGAAGAACTTGGGGGGGGGGGGAAATACTTGCTCCAGAGCCATTTCGCCTACTATATGTCTCATTTGTCACCCGGAACGGAACCCTGACATACACAATAAGAATCCAGCGTCTTCTATCCGTCGATATGACATTTTCCAAATATTAACATGTTTGGCTGAAGTTTTATCTGTGGCTGTATTTAGTTATTTGAAGTTACTATATTCATATTGAACCTTCCGTAAGGACATGATAATATTCCATTCAGTGATTTAAGACGTTTGAAAAATTGTGCAATATCACAAATAGGCTTGCCTTGGGTTATTTACCGAAAGTAGGTATGAACGTGACCCTGACTTTTATGTTATGGAATAAACAAAAACTATTTAAAATTAAGTGATAGTGGTATTTTCGAAGATACTGTATCCCAGCATTAGAGGGACAGAGAAAATCCACGGAAACGTCTTACGTTAGAATGTTGTCCGAATTAGATTCGAACCTAGTATCTCTAGAGCGTGTTACCGCTGAGGTTTCGAGCTCTCGTCCGTGATGTACGTGTATAGGCTACACAATTAGCGGGTTGCTTTCCCTTTGGTTTTCTGCAAAACTCTGCATTTCCACTTTGTTATGCCTATACCAACTTTTTCCCCATTACTCGTTCCCATAGGATCCATTTAACAAAACTTTTAGCCGAGAATTACTTGCTGGAAATATCACGATTCTGACCTCTCCCCTATCTTTTATCTTGAACTCGAGAGTGGAATGCGTAATCGGTGTACAGAGTGTTAAAAATTACAAGCCCTATTTATTATTTTGATACAATTACTAGGCAATCTCGCGGGTAAAGTAGTTTATTTCGCACGCAGTGATTTGGCGGAGTGTATATATTAATGAGGGATCACTCATATTGTTTTGCTTTCCTGTGCTGTGTTGTCATGGTCACTTATTATATTCAGTGTTGGTAGGACTCTTCACATTGTCTATTCGAAAACGAAGCGAGCTAAATGATAAAGCCTCTTAAGTAGCAGAAGTAGAAGATGACAGTGAAATGTAATGGGAAAACATACAGAATGCTAGAAGAAACATTTCGTAAATTATTCGCATGCACTAGTAAAAGTAAAGTAAAGTTTGTCTCACTATACGCCATGTAGGCGTTTGGGGTGAGTGGAGGTATAGCTCCTCTTTTCCTTGACCCCGGCACTAGATGGGGGTGAGTGGTCAGCATCACGCCCCGGCCGGCTTTACCCCCGGGAAAGGAACCCGGTATCCATTGTAGAGGGCTGGGTGGGCCCCAGGAAAAATCCTCTGTCCCCGTCGGGGATCGAACCCCGGTCGTCCAGCCCGTAGCTAGTCACTATACTGACTGAGCTATCCCGACTCATTCGCATGCACTAGTACGACCTATTTAAAGTATATCGCTTCACTGGATATTTTGGAATCTATTGTCGAATTTATAAAATTTAAAATTGTTATAAAGTTCAACAATTTAAGAGCATTCGCGTAATCTGAGATAAATTTTAAATTAACTTTTCACTTAACAAATAATAAATGGAGTGAGCATAAAATCACCGTAACACTGTGCATAAACAGAGAATAATAAGGAACTGCTGAGTGTAGCTACTGTTCTTTGTTTGAAGCTATTCATTTTACCACGCGAAACTGCTTTTTCATTCTTTGCTTTTCATTGCCCGCTTTTTTAAAATAATGTTATGTGTTCCGGCTTTATAGAACTAAGAAACTTCTGTAGATTTCTCTTAATCACCCGCCGAGTGAAGTTAGACAAACGCAAACTAGGTGGTGCTAGCTCTGGTCTAGCGTGGCTACTTCATTTCCTGACCCTACCTGAAATTTCCGGTACTATATCTCCTTCCTTACATAAATTATCGCATCCTTAATTTTACTTTTACACTAGCCATTGTGTACGTTCCTCTTTTTTTATTTTGGTCTACCAACGAGAATGAAATACAAAATGGCTTCCAAGCACTATGATACACAGCGTTGCAGACATAATGATATAACAAACTGTGAATTTCTTTGAACAATTTATTTTAACCCGAGTAGCAATTACGCAGTACATCCGCGACTACGTTGTATCTCTTGTAAGAAAACTGCAGTGATATGAGAACTCATAACTGTGTGTCTTTCTGAATTATATCTTTAAAGTTAAATTGCAGTTACCTTTGTGTGGAAGCTTGTAGTTCCTTTGTCGTTTAATTACTTTATGTAATCTGCGTACATTTTTTTTAAAACGTGATTAAAAAATCTGGAAGAGAATAAATTCGGGATAATATACGATCTATGTGTGCATAATTCAATGTGGAGATGAACAGAGTTACAAGGAAGATTAAACACAATATTTGCAAGTCAGTAATAACATGACTGCTTTATATGTATCACAAGTATGTTTTTGAAAAAGAAAAATATTATTCGCAGTAAAATATTGGATGTCGGTAAAAATCTAAAGGAAAGGCAATATCACAAATCATGTTATTGTAAAAGAGCAAATAATTTACTAAATTCTACTTTGGTTAACATAAAAACAAAATTGTATGGTACAGACACTTCCAAAGAATGGCAGACAACAGATGGCTCAAACAGTACCCGAGTTTGTCTCCAGAAAGGTGGAAGAGACGGCGACCGAGTGTTAGGTTAGGTTAGGTTAGGTTAAGTTAGGTTAGGTTAGGTTAGGTTGGGTTGGAATGATGGAAAGAGGAGACAAATGAAGATGAAT